TAGAGGCAACTGGAGGGTAAAAAAAGAACACCTACTGGAACAAATTGGCAGTTTGGAAGACATTCAAGTGCACAGAGCATTAACAGATAATGAGCAGCTTTTGAAAGCTCATATAGCAATGGAGTATGAGGAAGTAGCTAGAAATGAGGAAATCCATTGGAGACAAAGATCCAGAAGTCAATGGATAAAGAATGGATATAAGAACACCAAGTTCTTCCACAGAATGGCGACATCCCACAAAAACAATACTATAGAATCCTTAGTGATTAATGGAGAAGAGTCTTCAGATCCTGTTGCAATCAGAAATGAAATTGTGGATTTTTATCAGATTTTGTACAAGGAGACAGAAAGTTGGAGACCATCTTTGAACATCTTAGATGTTCAAACAATCACAGAAGAAGAACAAATCTTGTTGTCTAGAGACTTTGAGGAGGAAGAAGTTTTGGAAGGACTAAAACAGTGTGCTGTTGATAAAGCACCTGGACCAGATGGCTATACAATGGCTTTCTTCAATGTTTTTTGGGAAACTATCAAAGATGATGTGATGCAAACCTTCCACAAATTTCATGCTCATCAAAAGTATGACAAGAGTTTTAATGCCACATTTGTAGCTTTAATTCCAAAGAAGGTGGAGGCAAATGAGCTAAAGGATTTTAGACCTATCAGCTTGATCACAGGGGTATACAAGATCATAGCTAAGGTGCTGGCAGAAAGGTTGAAAAAGGTGATCAGTAACCTAATAAACAAGCACCAAATGGCCTTTATCAAAGGAAGGCAAATCATAGATGTTGCACTTCTAGCTAGTGAGTGCATTGATTCTAGAATTAGAGGTGGAACCCCTGGACTGATGTTCAAGCTAGACATTGAGAAGGCATATGACCATTTGAATTGGGAGTTTCTAATCAATATCCTAAGGCAGATGGGGTTTGGGTGGAGATGGTTAAGCTGGATAAATTTCTGCATTAAAACCACTCGGTTCTCCATACTTGTAAATGGAGAACCAGTTGGTTTTTTTCCAGCAGAAAGAGGCCTGAGACAAGGGGACCCACTCTCCCCCTTTCTATTTATCTTAGCCATGGAAGGTTTGGACAAATTGATGAGAGTTGCTTCTCAGAATAACTGTATAAGGGGCTTTTCCATAAAGAGCAGGGTAAATGATACAATTGAACCAACACATCTTTTGTATACAGATGACACATTGGTATTCTGTGAAGCTGAGCAGGAACAAATTTGCTACTTAAGAGTGATCCTGGTGGTCTTTGAGGCTTGCTCAGGATTGAAAGTAAACTGGAGAAAGAGTAGCATTTTTCCAATTAAGGAAGTGCAACAGATTGAGGATCTTGCAAGCATTTTGAAGTGCAAGATAGAGAAGCTCCCAACAGTTTACCTTGGTATGCCTTTGGGCTCCGAGCACAAAGCAGAAAAAATTTGGGATGGCATTATTGAGAAAACAGAGAAGAAATTGGCAATATGGAAATCTCAATACCTATCTCTGGGAGGTAGAGTTGCACTAATTAACTCAGTTCTGGATTCTTTACCCACTTATGTGATGTCCCTCTTTCCTATTCTTATAGGATAGTGAAGGTTTTAGATGCACTCAGAAGGAACTTCTTATGGCAAGGGAACAAGATAGAAAAGGGATTCAACCTGGTGAAATGGTCTGTAGTACAATAAAGCAAGAAAAATGGGGGGCTGGGAGTGAGAAATTTAAAAGTTCATAACATGAGCCTCCTCTCAAAATGGTTGTGGAGATATAATCAGGAGGAGCAGGCTCTATGGAAAGAGATAATAAACCACAAATATGGGCAAGAGGATTTCTGGTGCACTAGTGAAGTTAATGAAACTTATGGGGTTGGGGTGTGGATGACCATCAGAAACCTTTGGGAGAGTCTAAAAAACAACTCAAAAATTGTGGTGGGCAGAGGAGACAAAACAAAGTTCTGGCTAGATGATTGGTGTGGAAATGGAATTTTGAGGGACTTGTTCCCTATTCTTTTCTCAATATGCACAAATACCAATAGCAAGATAGAGGAGATGTGGTCACCACAAGGTTGGAATATAATATTTAGAAGACTGCTAAATGACTGGAAGATTGATGGAATGGTGGAGTGTTTGGGCTTGATTGGTGGATTCCCAGGTACTACTCTAGAGCCAGACAGATTAGCATGGGAACATCACAAAGATGGGGTATTTTCAATGAATAGATTATACAACTGGGACTTAAAAGATGTGCAGGAAGATCCATTGGACCTTGGAACAGAATATGGAAAAGTGTGGCTCCTGCCAAGGTGAAGTGCTTCACTTGGTTGGTAGCTAGGAAAAAATGTTTGACTCATGAGGCAATGCAGAAGAGGCGCATCAACATAGTATCCAGATGTCTCCTTTGTAAAGAAGCTCTGGAGACTAACAAACACTTATTCATGCACTGTTAGGTAACTGCTCAGGTGTGGGCTCTGTTTACAAGCATAGCCAATGAATATTGGACTATGCCTGAACACACCTCTGACCTTCTTAGTTGTTGGATCAAAAGGGGAGGCAACAAAAGTCAGAAAAGATGGTGGAAAACAGTTCCATGTATCTGGTGGATTATATGAAAAGAAAGGAATCAGAGAAATTTTGAAGGAAAAGAGTGTACAATACAGAAGATCAAATGGAAAGTAATTACTACTTTAGGTTTTTGGTGTAAAGAACAGGATATAGAAGAGGAGTTCCAATTAGTGGACTTCGTAGGTTCTCTGTAAGTATTTCTTTTTAGTCTTTTCCCTTTGTTGTAACAGTTTTTTGGAGGTGGCCAGCATAGCCCTTAATGCTGAGGAATACAAAAAGTTACTAGTTTCAAAAAAAAAAAACTTGGGTCCCATTACTATATCTCAATAATTTTGCTTGATTTCTGCAGGATTAATTACCGTTGACGAGCAACAAATGGCATTGGGTTGCAAGTGCGTGTACATTTCCTCCTCTTCTAAGGTAATTCTCTCCAACTCCATTACATTGGCTCATTGTAGGATGGTTTGGATGAGTTGTTGTCAGTTTAAGCTTCCTCTTTTGTTCTCCTTTCTTTATGACTATAGTTCTTATGTGCTTCTATTTTTGGGGTGAATGTTGGTTTTTTGTTATTTTTTTTTGAACAATTTCTTTTGTGATATTAAACTTAAAGGAAAATACAAAAATTTGATCGATCTCCAATGTTTCAGATGTACCAGATACGTTGTTGATCGATAAATAAAAATAGTAATCATTTCAAGAGTTGGTTGTATTCTCTGTACATTCTTTCAAATGCAATAAGTTTTTACTAACTTCGGTGATCGTTATCTTTTCTAAGATGGTCACTATTTGCACTTAAATTTAGGAGCTCTTAGCCGTAGATTTTATCTTTGAGTTTAAAATTTGTTTCTCATATTTTGTCATAGCAAAATAAAGAGGCCAGCTAGATATGACTACTGAGACATCAACTGATATTCTAAAATTCTCAAAGATTATTCTACTAAATTTGTGTTTAAAGGTGAAATGGACAGGATATATATTAGCAATGGAGGTTTGATCCTGTTTTGCTTATGCCTTTCTCTTTCCTTCATCAGTAAGTTTATCGGCTAACTTGATTGTTTCCCTTTACAATGATCTTCTTCATTGAATTTGTAGTGTTCTTGTGCAGGCAGAGATTTATCTTTTTCTTTTTTCATCTGTTTTGTTGTCTATTGAGAAAGATATTATGTCTCCATCATCATTGATAATAGAATTTATAAACTCAAGTGTGTGAGAGTAAAAGAACTTGTTTATTTAACATGCTGAAGCATGTACCGTTGAGAAGTAAAATCTTTGATTTATTTACTTCTTTTCCGATTTATTACTTTGGTTCAACAATTCTTCTATTAAATGCCTATAACTTTGTATGGAGGAAATATGAAAAGCCCTGAACACTAATGCCCTTTCAGAAATATCTATTGTGTTTGTAACTATGAAGACACGTGTAGTGTAATTTACTCATGTCGAACCAAATTTCTCCTCTCTCTCATTGAACCTTCGCAGCTAAATCCCTTGATCTTCTTCTCTTTTTCTATTCCTCCCTCTCTCCCATGTATATTTAGGGACTTTGTTGGTCATCATCAACCTTCCTTTTACAAAGAAAGCTATGGTATGGAGCTTTGTGAATATATTATCAACTTCTTCATTGGAATGGCATGACAAGACTTTCTTAGTCATGTAAAACGCAGGTCTTTTGACATGTCACGTCAAGTTTTCTGAAAATTATGTTCCTTTTATGTTGGGTCCGTGCTCAGCACGGGCGTGCTCCATCTGGTGTGTGTGTGTATATATATATATATATATATATATATATATATATATATATATATATATATATATATATATATATTCCATTGTGCCCTATCTTTAGCTAAGTCTATATTTATACCATGTCTTTTGGGTTCACTTTCTTCTATGTGATTTTAGGTCTACCCGGTTGGTCCCCTTTTAACATCTTCACTTACCATAGTTTCACACCTATGGACCAGCACATCTATAAGTATGCATACTATGTCTAAACCATCTCAATCAACTTCTCGCATTTTTATCCTCAATGTGCCTTCTGGCGAATATATTCATTTCTAATTTTATCTAATCTGATGTGACCACACATCATCTTAGCTTCCTCAATGTGTGCTACTTACACATTATGGCAAATGTATTCATTTCTAATTTTATCTAACCTGATATGACCACACATCTTAGCATCCGCACAACACTCATAGCAGCCCAACATCCACTGCCACGCGATAGAACATCTCCATTCAAACCATCCAGTTTTAATCCTACGAGTAATGTTTTCATCTATCGCACCAAAATTCAATTGATAAAAAATCAATTACATACCTATAACCCTAGAATAAAAAAGAGGCGCAACTATTAAATAAACCCTAATTTCATCGTTTTCAGAGAATCAATGCACGAAAAATATGAACCAGAAAAATTAAAAATAAAACCCAAAAACATGAAATAATTACCTGAAGCAAAGTAATCCAGAAGAGAAATGGATGTTTATCAGAAAAAGAATTGGCGAAACATTGAAGAAGAAGAAGAAGAACAGCGCCAAAGAGAGAGATAATGAGCTTTTGAAATTTTTTAAGGTAAAGGCTTTTTGTATTTTGACTCAAAACTTAGCCCCTGTATTTTTTAAACTAAACAATAATGTCACTTATTTTTATTTTAAAACCAAACAATTTATATATAAAAAAAAGATATCTATTTTTGGTATATATTGCAAATTTGCAATATATCTTAAATTGAAATGAGCACAAGTTGTTTGATAAGAGATATACTTAATTTTTCATTAAATAATTTTCTTACATTTTAAATATGTTGGTTAAATTTTTTTTCTAATAAAAGTAAGAATAGCATCATTATACATTTATCAAGAATTTCCTAGAATATATGACACAACTATTGATTAAAATATCTGTAAAAATATCGAATACGAATCATAAAAGTAATCAAACTATTTCAATATATATATCTATATATCTATGTTACCTTAAAAGCATGAAGTCCTAACTTGAATGTTAAAATACAATAATATCCCTAACTTAGGTTGTGACTTTTCGAATAAGTTGTGACTTTTTCAAAGGGCTGTGATTTTTTGATGAGTTGTGATTTTTCCAAAGAGTTGTGACTTTTTCAAAGGGTTGTGACGAGGAAAGGTCATGACTTTTCAGATAAGACACAAAAAAACACTTGCTCATATTACCCTTTGTTGACTATAAATAAAGGAGTTTCCTCTAATTTTTCAACGTCAATTTTTTTTAATCTTCTTCTTCTTCTTCTTTAAAAAATTTCGTGTGATTATTGTCATTGAGTGAGTTCGAATTTTAGCGGAATATATTGTACCACTATTCTGATGAACTAAATTATTCTATCGTAAAAGGGTATATTCTTTAACGTCGACTACTTGAGGAAAATAATTTTGATGATAATTTTTTTTTCTTAGTATATACAGTAGTATGTAATGTTCCAATATATGAAGTTAAATGATGTAGTCTAAAATCATTTGTTTTTGTTAACAATTTCTCTTGTCATGTAGATATATGTTTCTGAATATCTTTTCTAAAAATGATTAAACTTCTCAAAAGTTGGAGAATTGTCACGCTTTGTTTTTTGATGCTCAAGACAAAAAATGAATTTATTTATCAATCCTACTTATGTGAATTAGATTGTCAGGTTGTTTGCTTCGAAATAATTATTATTATATAAACATTGCCCTTTTATTTTATTGATTTACTGTTTCTTAATATGTAAGTATTTTCGACGAAAAAAGTTTATATGACTTGTAATAACGCCAGTTGAAGTTTGTATTACTTTAATTTTTATTGTAGTCTTAATTCATTTATTTTTGTTAACAATTTCTCTTGTGATGTAGATATATGCTTCTGAATATATTTTTCTGAAATTATTCAACTTCTCAAGAGTTAGAGAATTGTCACGATTTTTTTTGTTGCCCCAGATAAGAGAACGATTCTATTTATCAATGCTACTTATGTGATTTAGATTGTCGTGAACTTTGTTTTAAAATAGTTATTACTATATAAACATTGCTCTTTTCTTTTACTGATTTGCTATTTCTTAATATTTCAATATTTTCAACGAATTAAAGTTCATATAACTTATAATAAGGTCTGTTGAAATTTTTATTAGTTCAATTTTTATCGTAGTATAAATTCATATATCCTGAACTTAGGTTGTGCCTTTTTTGATGAGTTGTGACTTTTTTGATAAGTTGTGACTTTTTTCAAAGGGTTGTGATTTTTCGATGAGTTGTGACTTTTCCAAATAGTTATAACTATTTTAATGAGTTCTGACTTTTTCAAAGGGTTTTGACTTCTTGGAATGGTCATGACTTTTCACATAATACAGAAAAAACACTTTCTCATACTACCCTTTGTTGACTATAAATAGAGGGGTTTCCTCTCTTTTTTCAACCACAATTTTTTTAAATCTTCTACTCTTCTTCTTCTTGCATTTTAGAAAATTTAGTATCATTTACTGTCGTAGAGTGAGTTCGAAGTTTAGCAGAATATGAGGTACCAGTATTCTAATGAAGTAAATTGTTCTATCATAAGAGGGTATATTCCTTAACCTTGAGTTCTTGAGGAAAATAATTCTGATGATATAATAATTATTTTTTTGCTTAGTTTATACAGTAGTATGTAATGTTCCAATATATGAATTTCACAGGATGTAGTCTAAATTCAATTGTTTTTGTTAACAATTTCTCTTATAATGTAGATCTATACTTTTGAATATCTTTTTAAAAATTATTAAACTTCTCAAGAGTTAGAGAATTGTCACGATATGTTTTTTGATGCTCAAGACAAAAGAATGACTTTATTTATCAATGCTACTTATGTGATTTAGATTGTCAGGTTGTTTGCTTCAAAATAATTATTACTATATAAACATTGCCCTTTTGTTTTATTGATTTACTAATTCTTAAAATTTAAGTATTTTGGACGAAGAAAAGTTTATATGACTTGTAATAACATCAGTTGAAATTTGCATTAGTAAACTTTTTATTATAGTCTAAATTCATTTGTTTTTGTTAATTTCTCTTGTGATGTAGATATATGCTTCTGAGTATCTTTTCCAAAATTATTTAACTTCTCAAGATTTAGAGAATGGTCACGATTTGTTTTATAACTTATAAAATAAAAATTAATATACAAAAATAATTCTAAAAAATAAAATGTAGTTGTTCTCCACATTTTCATATGACATCTAAACAAATTGAGTGGAATACACGTGCAAAGCACATCTGGTTAGATGACAAGAAAACTACACAACAAATATCGCCTATCAGGTAATATTAAATATATACATTATTACATTTAAATAATAAAAAATTTCATTGAACATCTTCATACGTTCGTTTGAATAAGATATATATATATATATATATATATATATATATATATATATATATATATATATATATCCACATTGAACATTCACAAAAGAATCTGCAATATTATTTTATGCAAATCTTATTATTCAAATCTTCGCTTAAATTTTTGAATTGATAATCACGTGCAACGCACGTGTCGGAAAACTAGTATATGTATATATTGACTAAAAAGAATAAGAGATGTAAATCGTAAGAGACAGAATTCTCCTGCTACTTTGTCTTCATTATCATTAGTGGCTGAAAAATATTTAATGAAACATAATAATTACGCAAAATAAATTCAACTTATAATATATTCATAAATAAATTTTTATTTATAAAATGTAAAATTTTAATAGAAAAATATATTTATCATAAAAACAACGAATGATATACCGTGAGTTTACGGTATTTTTAATACATTTCACTTAAGAGTTGTGTGTGTGTAGGGCCATTTTGCATTGGTATTAATGTGTTTTTATCATGTTTGTAGGAAATAAGTTCTGACGTGGAAGTGGAGAGACACAACTGAAAAATTGTGCAGAAAAGGGTATTTACGGACGTGACCTACAGAAATTCTTGACCAAGTGCGGAACCACGGTTACAAATGACGGACCGTAGGTCGACCTATGGGTTGTCCTGCAGTTATGTCAAATGAGTCAGAGAAGGGGGTTCCAGTACCTGATTTCGAAAGTTTAAGTATGGAGCCACGGAGGAGGATCCACGGATCGTGGATCGAACCACGGTCCGTCCTGCTGATCCGTCGATTGTTACTGAGAGTTGGAGATTTTGAGTTTTGGAAAATTGCCTAAGTCCCAAACCACAAAAGGGACCTACGGACCGTAGGTTAGTCCACGGTCCATAGGTCAGTGTCGTAGATCGAAATCGTGTCCAGAAACTTTATTTTCTTATTCGTTTTCTTTTTACTTGGGACATGTTTTTTTATATATATATAGGGCATGTAAACCTCGTTTTTAGGGGTTGTCACACCCCTTTTTTCCTCAATATTTAATTTAAGTATGTTTTGAAAGAAAAAGAGTTTCTCCAATTAAAGTGACATTTTTGAAAAGGGATTATTTTATTATTCAGAGTCGCCACTTGGAATTGAGTTTTGGTGTTCCAAGTCACCTTATTATTTAAACCCCTAATCAAAAGGAAATTTGACTCTTTATTTTTATTGGTCTGCGAGAACAAAGATCGGGTAAGGAATTCTGTTGACCAAGGGGAAGGTATTAGGCACCCCTCGAGTCCCGTGGTTCTAGCACGGTCGCTTCATTGACTATATATGACTTAAATTAATTTTCAGATATTGTATTATTAACTTAATAATAAAAGTTATTTACCTCATTATTTGGTTTATTTTAAACCTATTTATATTATATTAATATATTTTCGTTAATTAAAAAGAATGTATATCACATAAATTTATTCAAACATAATAAAGTAAAATTAATAGATGGATATTTACAAATCTTGATTTGTCTGGTAATTTCTTTTCTTTTCCTTTTCTTTTTCATGTATTTGTATTTTTTTATTTTTTTATTGTGGATAGAAAATATATGGGTATCTAATTGCTAGGAATTAGAATTTGTGTGGGATTGAAATTTTTTGAGTTTGAGTATTTTAGGATTGTATTTTCTTAGTTAGATTAGAAATAGAAATAAAATTTTTATGTGATTTGGAATTAGTTTTAGCAAGAAATTCTAAATAGATTAGGACTATTTTTTAGAAAGATTTTTTCCTTCTTAATTTTTTAATTTTTTTTTTCTTTACTTTTTATCCCTTTTTTGACGTTTTGGTTTTATTAGTTATTATTTTATTTTTTTTATTTTTGTTTTGTCTCTTTGTATTATTTATTTTTTTTACGTTTTTTTTTTTTTTACTTTATCCTTTATTTATATTTTTTAAATATTTTTTTTTTATTCTTTTTGGACATTCTGTTTCTCGTCTTCTTCTTTTTTTTTTTTTTGTTGTTTATTTTATTTTATTGTTTTAATCATCTTACGTTTTCTGTTTCATTTTTTCTTTATTATTATTCTTTTTGTTCTTCTTACTTTTTGGTTTAACTTTTTTTTGTTTCTGTTACGCTCTATTTTTTATTATTATTCTTTTCGGTTTACGTATGTTCTGTTTATATATATATATATATATATATATATATATATATGTATATTTTTATGCTTTCTCATTTTTAAAAAA